GAGTCTTGAGGGAAATACGCAGGAATTCGTCTTTAAGTGCTAGCTAGTTTTGTCGTAAGAGTGAAGTAGTTCTGCGTTACCACGGTGGCGATTAGTTCAGTAGTTTCCATAATGCTAAGATATTTGCAAAACTCCGGACCGTAAGTGTCTGCGGTGGGGAACGAACGCGTTGTTGTCCTTTCCGGAGAGTAACGCGTTCACCACCACACTATGCACGTCCTTCGTTTCGCCCGTCTTTCAGCTAGTTCTAACGATCCTTTGCCATCAGCAATCACCCGTTAACGGGATTGATCTGGGGTGCCCCAAATCGGCATTGAACCAAGTTAAGCTGAGGCTATAGTAATAATCACAATCTTAACCTTTTTTATTTACTCCCTATTCTTTTTAACGGTAGGATATATTGCGAAATATAACTTCTACAATGCTGAGATATTTGCAGAACTCCGGATCGCAGGTGTCTGCGGTGGGGAACGAACGCACTATTGTCCTTTCCGGGCATAGGAGTAGTTGAGTGACAGGCGAAACGAAGGACCCGCATGGCGTGGTGGTGAACTCGTTACTCCCCGATTCAATGTTTATTAATCTCTTAGGTATGGGGCATGCCCCATTCATCGTGTAGTAGTAGTGAATGAATGCATATGTGGCTTATAGCATGTCTTCTGGAGGCTGCAGATGTACCATATCGATGCTTTTTATCCTCCCATACGAGTCTGGTATGAATTTACCGACTGTTTAGAGAGGTGGGTTGCCAGAACGCGAAATCCAACGACAGACCACGTGTGTATTGCAGGGCACTTCTAACCAGTGCAAAGTAAGGATTCAACAATGAAACAGTTTCACTTCATCTACCTTCTGTCGATATGGATTCCATTCGTTATCCGTGTAAAATGACGACAAATGTATGATACTAAAAATCTATGATAGCATTTACTAAGAGGTATTCCTTTCGATCGACGTGCTCCACTGTCCTCATAACGATTGCCGCACAATTTTACTTTATTTTATTCTATTTGATTCGTCTTGACGTCTATTGTGCGGCACTTCTTACATACGATTCGTTTCGTCGCATTCATTTTCCACGAAGATCGTCCAACTTTAACGTGTGGCTTCGGTTGGTGCTTGAGGATTTCCGTTTCATTTTGAATATCGTAGAATGCTGTTCGGGTCTGTTCTCCCTGGAGTCCTGAGATAGCCGGGCTGGAGCCTTCCCAGTTGGATTGCAGAGAGTGGTTTTTTCTCCCAGACAAGTCCAGACATTGCCAATTTCCCGACCCTGGAGGGATGACAGGCTTGGTTGGCACGGAACGGAATCGAACTGCTCGTGCTGCAAGCACCATGCTCGTGATGCCGTACAATTGCACACTCCTTTGAAGGACCTCACGTAAACATTTTCGTATCAACTGGAAAAATGCAGAAATTGGAATATGTGCTGTATTATCCTAATGTTCTACACAGTCTAACCTTTCAGAGGATGGTTCTTCCGACTTTTAATTTTGTTGATTTTTTGCTAAGCAGCACTTATAAATTAATCCTTTTCCATCGACTCGGATCATCGGCTCTGAGGAAGACGAAGACGTCGAAACGTTAGGCGAAAATAAACATCATTATCAACCTCGTGTAAGCTCATCAAAGAAAGAATACATATTGATTAGTGATACCGAAGTTCAAGGAAAGTCGGTTTCGAAATATTACTACGCTTTGTGCTAGCCGATAACAACACCGACTTTTGCACGATGTGCGCAATGATGTATGTCCGGAAGAAAAACAAGTTGTTATCACCGGACATTATCGTTATATCGACCATCATAATCGTGTATAAAAGGGCATCAATGAGTGAGGATGCCTCATTAGAGGAGATGGCTCACTGAAGAAGACCTGACTCGACACGAAGGCGAAGCTGCCACGTCGAGACGAATAACAAGCGAGGACCATCGACTCGGATCATCAGCTCTGAGGAAGACGAAGACGTCGAAACGTTAGCCGAAAATAAACATTATTATCAACATCGTGTAAGCTCATCAAAGAAAGAATACCTATTAATCCGCCACGACCGACCCATTAACCTCGGCATTGTTCAAATGATTTTCTTCGTATTTTTGTTGAGCAAACGCGAGGTGTTACTATTCTTTGTTCACGATTAAGCTGACGTTTCGGCGAATTTCGCCTTCTTCAGAGCCTGGAAAGGTCAAGTTGATAGCAACTCATCCGGCCAGACGCCTCCATAACCAAACAAAGAAACTCCAAACCAAGATTTCAATCACTTTGAACACAGCTCTGCNGCATTGTTCAAATGATTTTCTTCGTATTTTTGTTGAGCAAACGCGAGGTGTTACTATTCTTTGTTCACGATTAAGCTGACGTTTCGGCGAATTTCGCCTTCTTCAGAGCCTGGAAAGGTCAAGTTGATAGCAACTCATCCGGCCAGACGCCTCCATAACCAAACAAAGAAACTCCAAACCAAGATTTCAATCACTTTGAACACAGCTCTGCACACTCACCGCTTTCTATGAGAGCAGAGCTGTGTTCAAAGTGATTGAAATCTTGGTTTGGAGTTTCTTTGTTTGGTTATGGAGG